CTCTGTCACTGATTTTTTCCTGTTTGTTAATGAAATACGAAAGTGTAAAAGCAGTAAATGGTACGTTGGCTAATTATACAGAATATAACACATTACAATTAGCTGTAGAGAGAGGCGTTTGTCAACTGATTATTATAATGGAACACTTTGGGGGATATTTTGTACTAAGAAATTGACATATTTGTACACCAGATAACATGATTTACTGATTTTAAGTATATCATTGACTCTAGCCTGTGGATAAAGGGAGGAGCTAGAAAACACATGAGAAGAATTCTCATTTTTTCTTCTCTTCTCTAATGACTGATACCTTGAATTTTAATGAGGCTCAAGACTATCAGTGAGTCATTAGCCATTTTGCATTATTTTTTTTAAATACTGACTTGTGTACTGACATGAATTTGTCACTGATCATTTTCTTTTTATTCTTACATCAAACTAACAAGGAGAGCGAGGCAGAGAGACTGATAAAGGATAATGAAACGAGTTTAATAAATAAAATTTCAAATCCTGTGACATTTACTGGCAAAGATATAGTACTAAAATTATACTTATGATATAGAACAAAAGGATTGTGCATGTTGTAGTAGTAAATAGGTCTATAAAAATGGTGTCATAGTGTTAATTCTAATTTTCTATCATAAAAATTGACTTTTTATTCTGTGCAGAAGAGATCCAAGATTGATTTCTGTTTAACATCCCACAAAGCTGCCATTGTATATTTTAGATAATTTTCTCATATTTCTTACAATAACAATTTTCATGTTCTATTTTTGTGATATCAAGGTGTGTTAAGATATTGTAGAATATTTTGGGGCATTCTTTTTCATTATTTCCTTGCTGTGACAATTTATTTGTATTATTATACAACCACAAAATTTAATTACTAGGATATAATATTTTCTTCATATGCAAATGTGCATGCATTTACATGGATATTTGGACATCATCAAAGGAAAAAAAAAACTAGTATTTTTTCATACAGGGCAACTCACCTGAAAATGTTTTATTCAAATTATGCATATAGCTGAGACAAAATGTTGATACACGAAAACATTTTTCCAATAACTAGAATTATAGACTTCCTAAGCACACATTTTGATTTAATGTCATAAGATTGGTACTTAGTTCAGTTTCCAAATATTTTATCAGTCTTGTAAATAATCTGTTATAAGAATTTCAGCATCATCACTTTTAAAATACAATAAACTATAACAATTCTAAATGCAGTCTCAGTTATTTTCAAAGAAGAGAAATTTTCTCAGTTTAACATCTTCATACCTTTCAATTTAGTTGTGTGATCAATAACTAGCAATTCTTTAAAGGTAATTGCTGTACTTTTGAAAGAAGCCATTTTATGTTACATGAAAATTATAGTTTGGAAATATCTTCTTGGATGTATGTGTTCTCAGTTTAAAAGATTTCAATGTGCTCTAGGTTTTGAGTGCAACAAAGTTACCGTGCATTAGATATGTTAAAATTTATGGTAAAATTGCTTTTCAGAACATCATTGAAGGACATATATCAAGGGAAAGCACACAGAGGCACAAAGGAAGTGAGAGAGAATAGAATTAGGTACAAGAAAATGTGACTCGAAAAACCTGGATAATGTTTGGATGAAACATGCATGATGGGTGAAGGTAAAAATTGGAATAAAACAGGGAAACTGAAAGTTTCTAGACAGAAATTTGTCCCTAGATCAAAACTAACAAAAATAAATGGTCCTCGTTTTGCCCTTTCAGACAAGCAAAATGAAACACAGATCAAAACTAACAAATACATGTCATTCTTATGCAATGAACACAGAATCTGAATAAATCTCCAGTATGTGGTGTAGGAACCTCTGTACTGGTCAGCTTTTCTATTGCTATGACAAAATTCTTACATCAAGAATTTAAAGGAGTGGAGATTTAATTTGGCTCATCATTTCAGAGAGTTCAGTCCACGTTCAGGGACAGCTTGGTGGGTGAAAACTGTTCACCTCATGGCATTTGGGAAGCATAGAGCATGTGAAGAACACAAGCAAGAGATACACTCATCAAAGGCACATCTCCAGTGGTCCCCTTTCAACTCAGTCCCACACACTCAAAGCGCTTTCAGCTATAAAACACAGTAGACTGGTACACTGATGTGTACAGTGTCCCTGGGAGACAATCACCCTTCCAAGGATCTCTTAGTCACAAAAGTTAAAGGTATCCTTCTGCAGGAGAGTCAATTATCTACCTTAGCAGAAACCATAATGCACTGTATCTCACTTATCAAGAGCTATCAGGTATTCAGGGTCCTCAGTATTATTGTATTATCATTTTTATATGTAAATATGGAACAGATTGGCCAGAGATGATGGGGCATGCCTATAGTTCTAGCTATTCAGGAGGCTGAGGCAGAATGATCTCAACTTTGAGTCCAGCTTGGCACTTTAGTGAGATCCTATCTCAAAAAAAAAAAAAAACTTGAGAAGATAAATATATAAAAGATCATTAACTATATGAACATCTATAGTCAAAAGGCAAATGACAGGATAACGGCCAAATTCCTTGAAGATTCAAGTTAAAAAAGCTGACAGAAAAATATCTAACCATTTCTACATCTATTCAAGAAACTGAATCCATTATTAAAAATTTTCCCATTGAAACATTCCATGCCAGATGTCCTAACAATTGAATTTTAAAAATGTCTAAGGAAGAAATCATATCAATCTTCAATAATTACTTCCAGAAAAAGGAAAAGAGGAAGCAAGTTCCAACTTCTTTTATAAAGCCAGCCTAATATTGCTACCAACACTTGAAGGCAGTTTTTAGAGAAAAACCAAGATAAAAAGTATTCAATAAATATTAGAAACTTGAATCCAGCAATTTTTAAAAGCTATAAGGCATCATGACCAATAATGTCTATTTCAGAAATCTCAAAGAGGTTTGACATTCAAATATCAATGGCTATAATTTACCACATTCACACAAAATGATGAAAACAATGCAATCATTCTAATTAATGCAAAGAAAGCACTTAACTATATTCAATGCTGGCTTATAATAAAATTTTTAATTGAGTATAAAGAGAAATTTTCTATACTGATTAAGAAAGCAAAAAATTCCTATAAACACTGCAAACAATGTATATAATGACAAGCACAGAAAACTTTCTAAGGAGACACAAAATAAGATAATGCTTTCTATTATTATAAATTTCATTTTAACATTATGCTGGAGGGACTAGTCTACAAAAAAGGTAAAACAAAAAAAATTTAAAGCACAAAGAATGAAAAGAAAGAAACTGCCTTTATTTTATGGTGTAATTTTTTGCATTAAGAACTCAAAACTCAATAAACTGTTACTATTAATGAGTAAATTTAACAAGATGATTATGTAAATACTGAATATACAAAAATGAATTACATCATTATAGACTATTAACAAAGAACAAACAAAATTTATGATTTATGATTCTTATTAAGGTCAAAACATCAGATATCTAAGATGAAATTTGATAAGTCATATGTAGCACCTCTGGTCTGAAAACTGCAAAATATTACTAAATAATTCATTAAAAAGATGCAAATTAATGGTGAGATATATTACATAATTATATTAGATGACTGACTATTTTAAAGATGTTAATTTTCTACAAGTGAAACATAATTTTAATCACTATCCTTGCGTAGTTCATATTAAACTGACCAGGTCGTCCTAAAATTTATTCAAAGAATCAAAACAGCCAAGGCATACTTGGATAAGAAGAATAAAGTTGAAGTGTTTAAAGTGACAGATTCCAATTTTAAAAAATAAAAAAACATGAGTGTGTATATATGTAAAAACGTTCTATTAAATGTTATTCAGTCATAAAAAGAAATAATGTTGCAGCACATGCTACAACATGGTTGAACCTTGTAAACAGTAAAATAAGTAAACTAAACCAGACACAAATGGAAATGCATATCAATGTGCTTTATGAAGCATATAAATATGCTTCATTTATATGAAATATCTGGAAAAGGCAAATTGATAAACACAGAGGTTATCAGAAGTTGGGGACAGAGGGAGTTGGGGAACTAGCATTAATAGGTACAGAGGTTTTATTTGAAGTGATAGAAAAATTTGAAAATACAAAATATCACAAAATTTTGGTGATGAATGCAATCCACACTACTGAATTACCCACTCTAAAATTATTAAAATGACAAATTTTGTGTTATATACACATCAGCACAACTAAAGATAAAAATATATGAAAACCATTAAATTGTGCACTTGAGATGTGTGAATTTAATAGTACTTTAAATATATCTCAATAAATCTGATTTTAAAAAAGCCAGCGTAGATATTATATGATGTCACTTGATACTGGTTGAATTAGAGACATAATTAAATGGAACAGGATAAGGATCTCGAGATTGCTATTGCTATGTATTGGGAAAATTACTGCTTTTCAATAAATGATGCTGGATCAGTAGATATTGCTTTTCATTATAGTTCATAGGTATTACTTGTTTTTGAGGCATAACTATATATTAATATAATAAACATTTTAAAGATTAATTTAAAGTTATCCTAGGTGGAAAATAAATATTCACAAACAAATTAAGTAGATAAATAAAAAACTAAAGCAAGAATCTTTACAAGAACAATAAGTAGAAATAAACGATCTTGACTTATGTCAATTGTTGAATTAGACCACTTCTAACTTGTTTAAATGCTGTCAATATAAACCTGATCACTGAATTAATTACTTTACTTTTCAGTCCAACTCTTTAGAATACTTTATGCAAAAATCGTGCAAATATTTTGGGGTTTGGTCATTAATGTAAAACTATCCACTACCTCCATTTCCTATCTGCAACAAAACATAAAGCCAAATCAAATGGTCGGTTTAAAAAACACACAGCAAAACAAAACTCCACACACCAGTTTTCTCCCCCACCAATAATGCACCTAGAAAACAAAATAAATATAAACACTTAGACCATTTAACACATATGACAGAGGAGATGGTTAATGTCTAACCTTTATCCACTGGAGGTTTGTGTGCTTGAGTTTATTTTCAAGTTTATCTTGCTCTTCTGGGCTTATGGGAGCACTTACAAGTGCTATTCCTCTGGTTTCATTTAATTGTTTTAGAATTCCCTGGCGCAGGGGAAGCTCTTCCTCCAATAACTGGAACAGACAAAGGCAGCAAGGTTTAAAATGAATTACAACACAATTCCAACTGCTGTGTCTTCACCTTTATTGATTAGTCTATCAAAATGAACAGACTTGACCGAAGGCCCACTAGTATCTCAAATACCAACAGTTTTCTATACAGCACAGAGCTGGTGCACTCAGTCACGTAATCCCAAATACACAAGCCTTCCTACAAATGAACAGATTATTGTATCTTGCCAAGACTTTATATTTTTTAAAATAAAAAAAAATATTAGGTGGTTTGATGAGGTAGAAGACAACACCCAGAGTAGAACTATTCTAAAAACTGATATCTATCAGAAATAAAACAATGTGAATAAATTCACCAGCTTCTCAGTTACCATAGTTAGACATAGCATACCATAGATGGTACTGAATGAGAAACTGCACTCTCAGTGTAGACAGTGCTAAGGACTGTGCTAATTTTCTCACATATTATCTAAGTTTCTCTTTAGACTATTGTAGTTTTAGAAGGTTTTTCCGAGTATCATAATTTTCTGTAGAAGAAACCTGAGACAAGGACATTAAATAACAGCCCTAAGGACACAAACCTATTAAGCAACAGAGTAGTGATTCATTCTGGAATTCTTATTTTTCATTGTCTCAGAGTTGATGCCTTTCCCCAAGATCTACAAAACCATGATGCTAACAACTGTATTTTATTTACATTATCTAGGGATGCAGTGCCCAATACAGTAGCCCTTTGACACATGATGTCATTTAAATTTAAGTTAATTAAAACTCAATGAAACAGAATAAGCTGACTCCTTCACTCACACTAGCCCCTTTCTAAAGGAATATTTGGCTAGTGGCTATGGAAATAGACAATGCAGAAAATTTCCATCATCATACAAGGTTCCATTGGATGATACTTATATTGGTTGTCTAAGCAGAATAGAAAACGAATACACATTTATTAATAAAGGAATGCTTCTAATTATATCTATAGAATGAGTTATCAATTACATTCTTATATATGACACCCAGTATACTTAGGAAAGACGAATTCCCAAGAACAGACTGAATTCAATTTTCCAGAGTATAATCATCTTCAAATGGTTCACAAACTTTTAAGCCTTCGAATCTCAAATACCAAACATCACACCTGACACAAATAAAGCTCTCAGTATTTGTTTACTGCATTAAAAATATTTTATACTTTATCCCCTGGTAGGTTGCGAATTTTTGTTTCATAGAAATAATCACTTGAAACTAGACTCTGTGTCACACGAGCAAATCAAATGAATCATTGATAAATAAGAAATTGCATTTTCCATTGATTATGTAACCTTGTAAAAATAACAGTAATCACTTTTAAAACATTAATATGAACTTCAAATAAGCTATCAATAGTAAATGCATCTAACATTTGGCCCAAAATAGGAGATGAATAAAATTAATTTCTCTTTCTTTTTACCTTTCCCTCAACAATTAAATAAAACACATCAAAATGGATTACTTAACCTAAATTATGAAAATTAGTCCAACTGCACATCAGAGCACCTCAGTCAGTGGTGAGAGGTAATCAGTTATGAGTAGCTATCATGGCAATAACATAAGAAAAGTCACCTGAATAAGCTGAATTCATTCAACCACTACGAAAAGTGAAACAGTACCACTTTTTCCCACCCTTACTTTTAACAAACCAAAACGAAACATTGCTGCAGGCAATGTATATACCTTTAGTCAGAGACTGAAGTAGAGTTATTGATTTGGCAATTAAGACCTTCTCTTAGTAATGAGATGTTTTTCTACAAAAACTCCTCCAAATCATCACGGACATAGCCCAATATAGACTGGATAGTAATTCCCATTTCTATTTATACTTTATGATTCAACACTGTTTTTCAAATTATTTGAAGCTATGGAATTCTTGAATAAATCTAAAATTAATTTCAAATTAGTTTAAAATTAGCTCCTATTCACTATGTCTGTACAGATGCAATATATGGGTAACATAGGCATTTATGTGTACACACATATCTATGTATACAGACATACATATACATATACACAAATATTTACACTAGTTGAAGCCACTGGATTAAGACAAAATAAAGTTGTGAGAAAAAACATTTTAGTAAGAAAGTATAAATAATATAATAGGTGGGAAATCAATGATTAAATACATTTTAGAAATAGATTTTATACAAGTAGGCCCTTGGGGAATTTAGAAAATAAAATTACCTTGATTTGTTCGAGCTTTTCTGTTAGCTGTTGCTCATTTCCAAGTTCAAGGGGAATACAGGTAATGTTATCCACCTCTTCCAACCATAAAACAAACTCATTTAAATCTCTTTGAAATTCCGACAAGATATTCTTTTGTTCTTCTTGCCTGGAGATAGAAAAATGAAATTGTTATAAATGACATATTTCTCAAGTTTTTTTTAAAGCAAACTGGAAAGAATATGACAAACACTTAAAAGTAAGCATTCAAAAAGATGGCAACAATATATAATTCATTTTAAGAGAATTCATTCATTTTGAACAAAGTAATTTCAACATTTCGTAAATCTTTGAAAGATAAGAGATCAATATTGGTCAAGATAAGCTCTGTTTTAAAAATTCCACAACATTATATTATTACTTCATGGCAAGTTTTCTTGACTTAATCACTATTGACATTTAAGGTTTGAGGATTCTTTGCTGATAGTGGGTTTTCTGTGCATTGTATGATATCTAGCAGCTTTCCTGGCCTATATACACTACCTGTCCTTAGCAACTTCTCATTCCTCTCATTTGTGACAACCAAACATGCCTGATATCCTGCTGGGTATATTACTACCCACTTATGGGAATCATTGTACTAGAGTATATATATATATATATATATATATATATATATATATATATAGGACATGAATTTATGTGATTTGAAATGATTAATTAAAGTGTACAATGGGCTTAAAATAAAACACTAAACATTTTCCAAGTTATGAATCAAGATTTTTGTCGAGAGAAGACAAAGACTGATTTACAATACTTAACATATGTTATACTAGTGGAAAATTTTAGTTGTGAAAGTACATATAATGCATGCTATTTAATTAGCCATAGATTTATTTTTATATATTGTAAAAGAAGATTATAACTGAACAAAATGGTTTTCACTTAATGTAATTTATAATTTTTCTGTTTTGTTATGATTTGAGAGATATGCAAGCTTTTAAGATAAACCATACAACTAAGGACAAGAAATAACAAGGGAAGGAATGTCATCAGCTTCATAGAATCTCTATTGTGTGCTCGTAATATCTACCTGAAGTATATCTGGTAACCTGTCAATTTTGGATATTTTGCCAGTATTGAATATTAAGCAAATGGAGTCATATAGCATGTATGCTTGTGTCTTTTTCTTCTCAAAGTTGTGCTTATAATAATCCACTTTGTATATAGTTTTAATTTGTCCATTCTTCTGGCTGTGTGGTACTCAGTGATATAAATATGACTGTTGATGGACATTTGGGTTGCTACCTGTTTTTATACATTAAAGGTGTCTTTTTTTGTTTCTTGTCAACAAACACTTATTGACAATTTACTATCTTCTAGGAAATCTAGAATATTTGGTTTAAATGTTGATGTATTATATACCGTTTTTTGAGGATTTCACAGTCCGTGAGAAGAAATAAACAAGTAAACCAAGGAATATGGTTGAGTATTACAGGAAGATCGGTTATTTCTGGGGCAAGGATTGGGAGACATCAGAGAAAAGATAATGGTCTCAGTCTTGATGCAAGAATATAGAACCTCATGCTTCAGGAATAAGACACCACATGTGAAAAGACAAGGCTTCCACAAACTTATAATTCACTCATTTCCCAAGCTGGAATCTGGCTATTGGACTTCTGCTTGACTATATTCCGTTTTGTTATTTGATGGGAACTTGTTCAAAGTCTGTTTTGGAACATAAAAGGTGACCTTCTATCCTATTCTTAATATAGCAACTAGAAGTGTTCTGTGAAATCTAAAGTCACCTCTGCACTTAGAACTTTCAAGTTTATGTAAAGCAAAAGCCTAAAACACACAAAATATTACTGTTATATAAGGGTCCAGATCCGGGCTTTCCAGTATAATAGAGTATTTGAAATATGACAGGTAGAAATTGAGATAAACTGCAAGAGTTAAAAAAATCAAATTTAAAAACATAGTACAAAAAACGATCTCTATACCTTCTGCTCAGTTTTGCTATGAACATAAAATTGCTCTAAAATAGTGTATTTAAAAAATTAAAATAATAAAAAATATCTCATTGATATTTTGTATATCATAAACAAGTTAAAATAATATTTTAGTGAATTGTATTAAAGAAATACATAAAAGTTAATTTTACCTCTTCTTTTTTATTTTTTAATGAGGCAACTACTATCTGTACATATATATATATATAATACATATTATACATACATATATATATATATATATATATATCACTTAGTTTTTCTGATGAACAGGTTGGATGTATAAAATCTGCTAATTCCCTCTCTTCTTTTTACCTTTATATCTAAAATGTACTTATTGAGAATATTGTTCCAGGTTCTCTTCTGTCTTTTAAGTTTGTTTCTGTTTCTTTCTAAATAAATAATCAAATACTTTATTTCTTTGTTATTGGTTTCGTTGATATTATTTCTAAAGTCATGGCTCCACATAATTGTTTATAGATTGACTTTTGGGTGTGGGTACCAGGAGTCAGACTCATGACCTCACACTTGCCAGGCAGGTGCTGTGCCCTTAACCTATATCCCTGGCTCCTACATATTTACTTTTATTCTGGATCATTACTCTCTCATTTGAAAACCTAAATGTTTAATTCTTCTTAAATTTATATAATGTTTCTGACCTTGAGGTTTCAGAAATTGATATTTTCCCTGGACAATCTGTTCTCTGTTGATTCGTGGTACTTTTTACATTATTTTAAATTTTTTTATATTACTGTGATTCTGTTAGTGGATGTTGAAGACTTTTGGGACTATTAATCTTTGAGAATCTAAAATGGGTTTAATTGCTGATAGTTTAAACTATTCTTTTGCCTTACCTATGCTAACTTATGTAACATGAGTCTCATTTGGATAAATTCAAAAGTGAATCTGAATGATAATTTTAACTAGGATTTGATTAAATCAAAAATTAATTTGTGAAGAATTACTATCTTTCCAATAAAATTCCGCTAAATTTTCTATGATATACTATATTTGAAGTCTAAGAGTATTTGGGACTCTTCTGTCCCCTATAAATTGTTGAATACATTTTATAATTAACCTTCACTACCAGTTTGAAAGCAAGTACATTGCAGATGATTTTATGGACATTAGCTGTATACTAATTTAGAAAACTCTTATAAATGCTCAGAATAAATCATTACTTACCAAGGAAAAGCTTTGCTTTAGCTCTTTGCTGTAAGCTTTCTTTTTACAAACTGTGGAAAACTTTGTTCTGATGACTGGATTTTTAAAAACAAAGTATAGCCTTTTTTAAATTATGAAAAGATTTGGTAGTCATTTCTTGTCTACATTTATTATTTTTGCTTTGAAATATAAAAATGATGGTGTTGGGCCAGGGAATTAGTTCAGCAGCTTAAGCACCTGACTAGCAAGAGCAAGGTCATGAGTTTGCTCCCTGGTACCAAAAAATAAATAAATAAATAAATAAATAAATAAATAAATAAATAAATAAAGATGGTGCCAAAATCCCACCAGAACCCGGCTATAATCTGCTTTTCTAAGCACATGTGTTTTCTGAAATTTCAAAAGCTTAATCTGAAGCTTTTAAAAGTTGCAATTTGAATATACGGATTCAGATGATTGCAGAAAAGCAAAGGAATACAGCATTACCAGGCTTGTCTCTTGACAGAACAGTTTAAACATGCTTTACATTGGCATTCATCACATGAAGTGTTATTTCTTTGTTTACCTACTTGCTTAATGCTTATGATAGGATTTATTCAGGCATGTGGTAGTAATAATAATGAATGGGATATTTAACATTACCAATCTGCAATTAAGTGCTAAATATTTTACTTTTAGAGGCATTTTAATACATTTAGGCATTTTTTAAATGAATGGCTTCTGTTTGAAATATTGGCTCTGTTACCATTTACATTATAAATGCTCCTAATGCAATTGAAGGAAGCACATATTATGATAGTGAGTGATTTGCATAATCAGAAAGGAAGAGTTTCTGATGTGGATGTGTTGCTAAATTCAATGAATTTAACATTAACTCTTAATGATCATTTTCTGTGGGGCTGCTCCTAGGAGAAGAGGAAAAGACTGCCAACTCACATGGCATGATTTCAGTGGGAGAGGGGATATAGCAAGTGTTGTGGGCAAGCTGCTAGATATTTTCACATTTGAATTTCTTTTAAAGCTTAATAATCATATATATTACCTTTCTAATTCTCACAATGAAGCGATTAAAGCTCAGGAGACGTATATAACATATATCCAAATATAGTGTGATTCTTCCATTTTCTGGAAGAAATGTTCCTGTCCAAGCTTTTTGATCCATTTTAACATGAAAATTTCAGAAAATGCAGACAGAATCACCTTTCATCCATGAATACAATTAATTTCATTGAGTGTACACGTCTACTTTAAAATTATATAATAAAATTGGAGGGAAAGGCAGGAGGGAGGAAGTGGAAATAAAAAGAATTAAGATGTATTATGCACATGCAGGAATTTTCCAAGGTAAACGTAATCATTATGTACTGCAAATACATTCTCATAAAAATTATAAATAATAAAAAATGAAAAAGAAAGATCATATTCTCATTCATATTTCATATCATTATGCTCAAATCCTCGGAAATGCATCTTCAACATTGGAATATTCCTCCTCAGGAATGTAATTTTTTACATACTTAATTTTCTTGAAGATAGTATCATTACTTACACCCAAGTGGCTTGAGGTATGGTACTGCTGCATTTAGGTGTAATGTTCCACTTGGAATTCAATTACAAGCTTACAATTATATAAGATAGTATAATATAATATAAAGGACAGTTTTTTTTTCTTTTTCCTGTCTCATAAGTCCATAAGCTATACAATGTAACTAATCAGTTGCTTTTAACAATATTCCTTCCAAAGCTTGATCATATTGGCATCCAATTCTTGAAACTGTCATGTCATACTACCAAAGTTAATCCCTCCATTACATTTACTTTTCTCCAAAACTTTTCTTTGTAACTGTCAGTTAACCTCTATAAGCCATCAAATAAGCCATCATTTGAGATCAAATACAGCAAATATTTCTTTTCCAGATAGTAGTTTATTTTGAGCAAAGTAAAGTAACTGTTCTGTAATTTGAGAAACTTTAGAATTCAAGTATAAGAATAC